GCTCCGTTATGTTTTTCCTTCCCACTACGCTGTTTGTGCTTGAGACTAAAAAAAAAATAATAATCATGAGCCCAGTCTTGTCCGCACAGAATACTGTGAGCAAGTGAGTGAGTACACTTTAACCTTGTGTCCTGCCAAAGCAGAGTGTGCGTGTCTGTGTGTATAACACAAAACTACAAACGGGAAGGAGGTCGTTTTCAAATGGGCCCCTCCAGAAGGTTGTTTCGTTAGGAGAAAAGTCATGAGAACTGAAATGAGGTTAATCTGCAGAGGTTACCAAAGAGGTTTTCCCTTGGTGAGAACAAAAGTGTGTGCATAGCATCCAACTGTGAGAAGCATTAACAAGAAACCTCTGTTTCTACTAGAAGCAGTAGTGGCTGTTAACTTGATTTTTTTCTAAATGAAGGCTCTCTCATTTAGTTAGATAAGTATTGAAAATAGCATGTCTGATTAAAAAGTGATGAAGATGGCTGTTACACATCAGCCATCCTGACACACATAGAGGAAGAAACGGGGGCTAAGTGAATCTTGTGAAGTTGGGAGCATTGCCAGCCCCAGGGATTCAACAAATCATAAGATTTTAAAAAGGAATGAGATTTTTTTTTTTTTGCTTCCTGATTCTTGAACCTTTAAGGGTCACATTTTTAAGTTTTCCCATATAACCAGAAGGAATAAAAACTTTGTTTTAATGAAAGCTGGGATTCTCACGTAATCACCTTTTTCCTAAAACTTGGGCTTAAAAAAAAAATCATAAGACTTGTAATAAAGTTGCAAGTTTGGCCACACTTACTTTGCGGTTTTGCACATCTATTGTACTCTTTTTCAGAATGACCTTTTGCATCTTCTTTCTTTCCTGTAATTCAAACCCTGATATCATGATCAATTGCTATTTCAAAGCGTATTTTACTAGCTGACGGGATACTTGCTACTCACATGCTATAATAGACAGGCCAGCTGGGGCAAAGAACATAAGCTTTGTCGTAAAGAGGGAAAACTAGTAAAAGTCAGGTTGGTGCAGCAGGGTGCTCTATAATGCAGTGTTTATACTGCCTTCGGATTTTTACTTCCCTGTCTCTCCTGCATTTCATAATCTTCCTCTTTCTTTCTTTTTCACTTTACCCTCTATTCTGGTCCATTACTGACCCTGCTTTTTCAATGGGTTTTCCTTCTCCTGCCTTCTATGCCCTGAAGCAATGCTTAAGGCCGGTAACATTCAGGGTAGTATTGAACCTTCGTACTCCCATTTGCTGCCTCTGTGTTAGGAAGCCTTTATACAAGACTTGGGAGAGGCAGGCAGGCTGTAGGTAGATTCTTGCTGATGGGCCAGATTTTTCCATACAGCCTTTAATAGGAAGTAACAGCAAAGATTAAATAACAGGAAACACCTTGCTGCCTCACCCCAAAGCATCTCAGGGAAAGAATTGTGGCTCTGGGAGTTGTCTCCCCTGCCCTTGCTTTGCCCAGAATACCTTCCCACCCCTGCTTGGGTCAGCTCCACTCTGCTGCCTGGTGCTATATGGACAGTACTGTGAAGCCACAATTATTTCCCAAGTTCTCCCTAGCAAACAGTCCTACTGTAGCTCTTAGCAAATAAATACTTTAGTTAATAGTTTATCCATTAACTTATTATGTCAGTTCATTTGATAGACAGGACTCTTCTGTGCCTGGCACAATGAAGAGCATAGGGGAGGTGGGGACAGTTATAACTGATCCCATTCATCTACTCTGTGTACATCTGCAACATTAGCTCTGCATTATCAGGCACTTGTTTGCTGATTCTTATCCTCCAGGATAAACACTTTTGTGCAGCATGTGATCCTTCTCTGCTTGTGTTGACTTTGGCCATGCAAATCTTCTCCTTTAGGGAAGCGTTCTAGTCTGATTGCCAACAAGAGTCATCCGGCAAAACCTAGCAGGGAAGGACACATATTTTCAGACTGAGGAAAAGTATGTTTGCTTTCCAAATTTGAATTGAAACAGAATAAATACAAAATGGCAGGCTCTTGAAGGCCTTGGGTTTTTAAAGATGGAAATGTCCTAGTAAAAAAAATAATGACACGAAGTAGCAACGTGGGAAGGAAAGTGAAAGGCACCCTCTCTGCAATGCCAGAGGATTTTTTTCCTTCACCCAGTAATGTCCATGGCAAAGCTCATCTTGATTGTCGGGGAGCAGTATTGTGTTCAGTGCCCACTGAGGAATCGCACTTCTGTCCTCTCTGGGTCACTTCAAAAGCTGCTGCTGGGCTGGTGGTTTGAGTGCAAGAGGAGACCCCCCTGTTTAGAAACATTTGCAATTTTACACAGGCTTTTATTTTCTCTAGAGGTAAATGCAGTCGCATCCACGATAGCTCAGTGCATACCAGGTGAAACTCCAGTGGTGAAATCAGGCCAACATTGGGCCATCGCTATCTAACAACAGGGTGGTTTGAAAGGACTGTTAAATGTGGCCACTTGTTGGAAGGAAAACTGGCTTGTGTGACTAATTTACATACCATATGATGAATTCAGGCAGGTCCAGGCAAGGTGCTGAACAGTGGGATCATTATTAAATAACAGCAGACAAAGCATAGGGCTTCTGGCCACAAGTGAGTTGCCTGTGAATCTTGTCAGGGCAAGGAAAAATGCAGCCTAGTTTTTTCCAAGTTAACGCAGAACTCATGTTAAAAGCATGCTGTACATCAGGGTAGAAGAGAAGTTGACAATGAGACTTTTTGTTGGTTTGTTGGGGTTTTTTTGTTTTTTTATTTTGCGTGGTCTGTTTAGTTCCTGTCCTTGGAAAGGAAGAGTTAGGATATGATTTCTGTGTGTAGGTGAGACAGAAAGGCCTCTAGAAATTACTTGAAAGTCCTCCTTTGGCCTGCAGCAAGCCAGAGGACTCATCAGTTGTTGTCCAGTTGAGAACTCGTTCTTTTGTGACGTAAATGGCCACACCGGCTGTCCGAAGGGGTCGGAGCCGCTACAGTTCTTGCACAAAGATCCAACACCGTTGTTATACAAACGAAATGGAGGGTTCAAGGTTTAGTGTGGTATAACTGAGAGGAAAATCTGAGCCAGCGTTTCTTCATTCTTGCTGGGTAGAATTTGGGTGTTCTCTTTCTGAAGAAGTCAATTTTTCCCTTTTTGAGAATGACACAGTTTATATAATATTACTATTGCATAATAATAAGACTTAATATAGTTTTAACATGGCCTCAAGACAAATGGTAGAGTATTTCTTCAACAGCATCTAAATACATGAATTACTGTGTGTATACATGAATTATTTCACAAATCCTTTTCCTTCACTTTCCAAACAATCAAATTTAATAACAATTGCAAATGTTTTTTGCAGATTTTAACAGCAGCAACAACATGATTTTGTAGAACATTTCTTTACACAGGGTCAGATCTTCAGCTGACACAACTAGGTATACCTGCACGGACTAGAATAAAACCACGTCAATCTGTACCATCTGAGAACATAGTTGTCAAGCTTGTGTGTTTTTTATGATGAGTGCAAAGGTTGAGGGAATTCTTTTATCACGTAGTTGTGTAGGAGGGTGTTATCATCGGTTTAGCATAACTGTGTTTAATGACTGAGGATGGGAGTCTGCAACCTGTAATCACATTGAGCAGCACTCAGCTCAGTAAATCTTGTTGAAGCTATGAGACTATTCATATGAGCAAGCAGTTCTGCTACTTTGTCTGAATAAGGATTCCTGAATTCAATATTGGGGCAGAAGAAAACAGAGCTTTAAAAAAATCATAAGTAAAGAAAAGGGGTGTAAGATATTATTGGACTGGTGTAGTGTCTACTATTTTCCATTTTCTACCATTCAAGTTTCTGATATAGGAAGGTAGAAGAGAAGAATACTTTAGTCATAAACACAGCTAAAGTCTCCCAAAATGCTGCTGCTTATGCATAGGTGACCTGACTCTGATACAAATTTCATTTTCTCTGTCTTGCTTCTTCCACAAACAACGGTTATGAGGGGTAGTCTCCTGCAGACTAAGTTTATTAACCCAAACGCTTTGTAACTTTTTACAAGGAATAATGGCTTGGGAAGTTAGCTGACAATGTGGACAGTTTGTTATCCAAGTAGCCCCTCTGCCACAGCCTTTCAGAGTAACCATGGGCAAGTCTCTTAGTCTCGCTCTGCTTCAGGTCCCCTCCTCTAAAATGGGGTTAATAGTATAATAATAGTACTGCTACCTCACAAGTGTGTTCCAAGGATAAATACATTGAAGAGTACAAGGCACTACAAAGCTATGGTGGTGTGAGCCATGTCAATATTTTAAATAGAACAAAAAGAGAAGACATGTTAATATTAATACAAGGAATTAATTTTGTTCTTTTCATCACAAAAGCAGTGAACAAAAATACCCATTGACTTTAAGCTTTTTTTCCTCCATGTGCCATAGCTTTGAAAATGTAGCTACAGGTGAATTAGTTCTAGAAAGTAATATCAGTCAGCCAGGCAGGAAAATGAGTTGTATTTTTCATTTTTATCACAGACAATTAAAACACAATTAGCTACACTGACCAGGCAGGTTCATGTGCAAGATTTCCTTCCCATTTTGAAGCCAGTAGAAGAAAGCCTTTCTAAGCATCATTCTATTGTGAAGGACGCTCTTTTAGGCCAAAACTGCAAACGTTATCATGGTCCATTTAAGATAGTAATATTAAAATCCTGAAACCAGAGCAAGCTTCTGCTGAAGTCAAGGGAAGTTTCCATTTTGGTCTAAAACTTCATTCAATGTTTCCTGTATCCCTGGGTGATTGCATTATTTTGTGGACGTTGGGACAGCTGTGTTGTGGGGGTACATCGTAGGAGTTATAGAGGTGTCCAAATTAACACATTTCTATTTGAGTTAGGCTGCCAGAGTGATGGGTAGGAGGCCAGAGACTGCCACGTGCCAGGCAACAAAATCCCAAACAGTTCCTTAGCACCCACCCAGTCCTTTAATGGCATTATATTGGACAAATAGAAATAACCAGTCTTCCCCTTTCTCTTAAACAGCCCCCTGTGTTATTGGAGTGCGAGCACCTGAGATGTCACTGAAAAGGGAAAAACCAGTAGATACTTCTACGCTGAAAAAAATTGCTGCAGACATGAGCAATATAATAGAGAGCCTGGACACGAGGGAGCTCCACTTTGAGGGAGAAGAGGTGGATTCTGACGTGTTAAATGAACCAAAAACACCTGGTGAGTTTGTGTCCTTCTGTTTCCACCATATGTCCCACTTGGATTTAGTAAGTGAGAGTCTCTGAGGGGAAGATGAAGCTTTCGATCGGATTGCCTGCAGGAGCGAGGGTGATGTGAGAATGGGATAATCTGAGATGCTGACAGCTCTTGTGGGGCTTTGTGAAAGTCTGCATTTGTTTCTTCAGGACTATAAAACTTAGTCCATTACCATAAAATAGTGAGTAACTCCTAACAGGCACTGAACCCCCCCAGAGTGAGAGCTCATGAAATTCATGGGAAATAAGGCTGGCAGGATCTGGAAGGGATCATCTAATCCACCTCCTTGTCCCAAATCAGGATCAGCTCAGCTTAAAGCCTTCCTGACAGATATTTGTCTACTTTGTACTTAACCTCGAACAATGGATATTTCACAACCTCTTGAGCTCATCTACCCTTGTGCTTCACTATCCCAGCCTTCAGAAAAGATTTTCCGGATGACTAACTGAAGGGTGTCCAACTCATCTGTGCCCTCAGGCTGGATCCAAACAGCGGGGCTCCTCTTGGGCCAGATGTGGGCCTCATGAGTGGTAGCATGGTAAGCAGCAGTGGTAGTGTGAGCAGTGGGGTTAATGTAGCTATTGCTTATCCCTCTCCTGCCACTGACAAGCAACCCTAGTGGGGCTCTATATCTGAGGGTTTGGTGACAGGCCCTGACACCACTCAACCCACCCCTCAATTCCTGGTCCCTCTGGGAGCCCCATAGGCCAATTGAACAGGCTGTGTGGACCATATCTGGCCCTTGGGCCCTTACATTTGACACCTGTGGTCTAACCTAAATCTCCTGTGCTGCAATTTAAGACCTTTCCATCTTGTCCTATCCCCAGTGGACATAGAGAACCATTTATAACCTTCTTTTTTGCAATAGCCTTGCATCCTATTAATTTAGGACCATTTCTCTATTTGTGCAAATCATTTTGATTTCTAATCTTGTTCTTGAGAGTACTTGCAAATTCACCACGCTTAGTATCACCTGCAGACTTAATAAATATCCTTTTTCTTTCATTATCCCCATATGAAAATATTGAATAGCACTGGATTGAGAATAGCCCCTTTGTGAATTCACTTCATATAGCCTTACATTTGACAGCAAATTGTTGATAACAACTCTAAGTGCTTGTAACCTGTTGTACTTCCATCTTACAATAGCTTACACTATAAAGTAAGGAAAAATATTTCAGCTCAGAACTCAAGATTCTCCTTCAACTCAGCATTGAAAATGTCAATTGTTCTGGAGAACAGAAACTGGAATTGAGGATTCACACTACCTTTTAATAGTTGCTTTGCACCCTACAGGACTGAACTATCATTTGCAGTTCCAAAACATATTGGAATAGTGGAAAAACTCCAGTTAACTATAGGTCAGGCCTTAATGATCTCCAGCCATCATTGATGGACAGGCCTGCATTTCCTTGCTTACGTATATTTTTCAGTTAGAAGCCTTTCATTCTATTTTGACCCAGCAGGTGTATGCCATAGCATCTGTCTGTTACCTGCACATTTCTAGTTAATAGATTCTGCTTTAAAAAAAAATCACAACTAATTTACTCAAGATTTCTAACACTCTGAACACTTGCTTTTCATGCTTTGAGTTTCCACTAATATCTAGAAGAATAACTGAAAATTACAGATATTTATGAAACAGCAAGTCAGGAAACATTACAGTCTAGAAAATACAACAGACTTTGCTCTCTTATTTGATTTATCTTAATTATTCCTGATCACATCTCACAAATTACCCGCAAATATCCTATACTGCAGAGATTGGCAATGTTGGTTTATTTTGGCAGAGTCCCAAAAACATTAGCAACCTTGATGGGTAAGACGTTGGTGCGCTGGGGCGGATGGAATTTGCCCCATGCAACGTCTGCACGCTCATAGACTCCCTGAACAGTGAGGGTCCTGAAAGAAAAACCACCGTAGTAGCTAGAGAACTTGCAAGATATAACATTGATATTGCTGCCCTAAGTGAGACCCACTGGGCAGCTGAAGGCCAGCTGGAAGAAGGTTTTACTTTTTTTTTGGAAAGGAAAGTCACCTGAAGAGAGGTGCATTCACAGGGTTGGCTTTTGCCATCAAGAACAAGATTGTCAGTCAGCTTTCAGAACCCTCTGTAGGCATTAATGAACACCTTATGACTCCACCTCAAGCGCAGTAACAACCAGTATGCTACAGTCAGTGTGTACGCCCCCACACTTGACGATGAAGAAGTTAACAGGGAACAATTTTACTGTGCTCTTGACACAGTCCAGACTGCCACTGCCAAGGAGGACAAGCTCTTCCTCATGCGTGACTTCAACAGAAGAGTTGGGCGATATTCTGAACTTTGGAGTGGCACCACTGGGAAAGAGGGTGTTGGGGAAGTCAATTCCAGTGGTATCCTCCTCAGCAAATGTGCAGAGCTTGACTTACTCAGCACAAATAGTATCTCCAGACAGAGTGGCAAATATGAGACCACTTGGAAACACCCACGCTCCAATAACTGGCACCATCTTGACTATATTATTGTCAGAGCTCATGATCATACCATCCATATCACCTGAGAGGTGCAGATGACTGTTGGATGAACCACTGTTTAGTCAGATCAATCATGGACATGCAGCTTGCCCCACAACACCGTAAAGAGCCGAAAGGAATACAGAAGAGATTTAACATCAAGGCACTCCAAGACCAAGCTAGATACAAGGCTCTTCAGTAACACCTTGCTGAGAGGCTCTCAGACCTACCTGATGTCATCAAGGACATCTAGGCACATTGGGAGGAACTTAAAAACTTTATTCAGAAGGCATGCATTGAGTCATTGGATACTCTACTTTCTATCACCAAGATTGGCTTGACAAGAAGAATGAGGAAATCCTAGCACTTAGTCATCAGAAAAGAACCATGTTCTGCAGTTGGCAAAATGAACCCTCCAACCAGCAAAACCGAGGGGCTTGCTACTGGCTTAAAGCTGTAGTTCAGAGGAGGCTATGGGACATCGAGAACCAGTGGTGGCCAGTGAAGGCCATGGAAATCCAGAGTTTTGCTGGTCAACATGACATGAGAAGCTTCTTTCAAGCAATAAAAGCCATCCATGGGCCATGTTCCAACAGCCCAACCCCCTTGCGATCCCAGGATGGCTCCACCTTTCTCACAGATAATGTGTCCATCAAACAACACCGGAAGGAGTACTTCATGATTCTACTCCAGCCATGAATCTGAGGTCTCAGCTGCCACCATTGAGTCCATCCCTCAACACTCAGTAATAGACTCTCTTGATGATCCCCCATTCTTTAAGGAAGTCTGGCATGCCATCACTCAGATCAAGAACAGTTAGGTGCCAGGACCAGATAGCTGTCCTGCAGAGGTCTTCAAAGCTGGTGAAACAGCACTAGTGCAAAAACTTCACCAACTTGTCATTAAAATATGGGTTACCAGGGAAGCCCCACCTGACTTAAAGAATGCCAACATTGTGAACATCTTCAAGAAAGGGGACAAGTCAGTGTGTGGGAACTACTGAGGAATTGCCCTCCTCTCCGTTGACAGGAAAATTTACTTGCATCCTTCTGAATTGCCTTCTCTGCCTTGCCGAAGACGTCCTTCTAGAATCCCACTGTGGCTTTACACCATCTCAGGGTACCACCGACATGACTTTCATTGCACAGCAGATCCAGGAGAAGCATGGAGAGCAACACCAGCTGTTTATGGCATTCATTGACCTAAGCAAAGCCTTCGACTCCATCAATTTGTGAAGCCTTATGGAAGATGCTGTCTAGGTTTGATTGTCCACTGAAGGTCATCAGCATCCTCAGGCTGTTCTATGATGGGATCACCATCACAGTCCTTTGCAATGGATCAGAGACAGACCCATTTACCATCCGTACTGGTATCATGCAGGGCTGCATCATCGCCCGACCCATTTCTCCGTCTACCTTGCTGTGATTTTGATTCTCATCCATGACCGCTTTCCTCCCAGAATTGGGGTTGAGTATCAAATAAACTGTCATCTTTTCAACCTGCAGCGCCTTCACAGAAAAGCAGAAGTTACCAAGGCTGGGATCACTGACTTTCAGTATGCTAACAACTGTTATCCTCGCATGCACTAAGACCAATCTACAGTCCACCCTTGACCTTTTTTCAGGTGGGACTCTCCCTTAATATTGGGAAGATGAAGGTGCGCCATCAGCCTGCCTCAGCACACGCTGCCCTCCCCCCCCAACAAATTACCATTGGTGAAGAACTCCTGCAAATGCTGAGCTTTTCCCATACCTTGGTAGCCACCTTTCTCAGTCAGTCAGTCTTGATGTAGAAATCAAGTCTAGGATTCTCTGTGCCAGTGTACCCTTTGGAAAGACGTTTCATCATGTCTTTGCCGACTGAGATCTGCAGATGGAAACTAAGATCCTGGTCTACAATGCAGTGGTTATCCCCACACTCCTCTATAGATGTGAGGCATGGGTGACATATTGAAGCCATCTTAAGCACCTGGAATGGTTTCCTCAGTGTTGCCTTGGGGAGATCCTTTCCATTACATGGGAAGATGACTGCATCAATGCCAGCACCCTCTCTGTAGCTAACATAACCAGCAATGAGGCAAAGATCATGAAATATGAACTCCACTGGGCTGGCCACCATGTGTGGATGGCTGACACTAGTCTCCTGAAGCAAGTCTTCTTCTCTCAACTTAGTCATGGTAAGAGGATCTGTGGAGGACAGAAGAAGCTCTACAAGAACACCCTGAAAGCATACTTTAAGAAGGGTAGCATCAACCTTCCAAAATGGAAAGTGCTGGCTGGCAACAGGTCTCAGTGGTGCTGCACCATACATCAAGCTACAGCCCATTTCAAAGAGAATTGTCTTACTCAGGAAGCCGAAAAATAGCAGAGGAGGAAGGAAAGCACAACGCCCTGGCTGACAGCTGTGCCCGCCACCCTGCCCCACCCCACCCCCAGCACCACCTGTCATATCTGTGGAAAAACTTGCAAAGCACAGATTGGAATCTTCAGACACCTTAAAACTCATCAATAATCGCCCCCCGGCAAACATCATTCTCATATTGAGGGATAGCTGAAGAACTATAGTATTTTGTAATATTGATGAAGTCTTAGCCAAGACCTTAGTACAGCAGTATCTTTCTCAGTATCTTTGCTGAGGAAATCTTTGCATGAATTATGAAATGCATTGGTTAGCAAAATGCCAACTGCTGAAGTTCCACTGTGTGTCCTTAATCAACCATTGACCCCATTTTATCACCAGGAAATGTTGTACTTGGCATCTGAATTCTTTAAGTCAGGTTATTTAATGTGAACATATGTGAACTTTGGTGTAATTGGTTAAAAAATGGCTGATATTTTTTTGCAAAACATAAGACAAGAATTTAGGATTTGCAGTAAACTGTGTTAACTTGTTACATTATCTTTTCACTAATACAGTCTTGTTCATAGTTTAAAATGGTCTTTAAACTAATTGCTATTTTCCATGGTCGTTTGCAGCGGGCATCCCATTTTCTACCATTTATAACACTCAAGGATTCAAAGAGCCTCATATACAGACATTTCTAACTGGGTGTCCGATTAGAGTAAGAGTGTTGGAAGTCGAGCGTTTTACCTCAACAACAAAGGTCTGAACATATCTGTTACTGGATAGATATTGTCTCCTAAACCTGCTCCCCTTTTCCCAAATCCCTAATATTGTGTTAACATGTTACTTAGTGATTAATTTTCATCCTAGTAATTTTCTGTAAGTCAGTTAATTGTTTGTAGAAACTATGAATGTGCAGTCTTGAAATAACTCTAACAGGTAATATCTTTGCTTGTCCTGGTTAGTGTCTAATGCAGACTGTAATTAAAATGAATAAGAAATGACCATAATGTTCGACAAATGATTATATAAATTCCTAGAAAAGTTATTACTCGTTTGAAAGTTGTGCTGTTCTTTCCTGTAGGTACCAAGTCCAAATGTTTACACTATTGAGTTAACACATGGGGAATTTACATGGCAAGTGAAAAGGAAATTCAAGCACTTTCAAGAATTTCACAGGGAACTGCTGAGATACAAAGCCTTTATACGAATCCCTATCCCTATAAGGAGGTAACTATGCAAATATGATTGAAGAACCAACCGTGCACTGGGAAGTGGTTGTCCTCTCACTTATAAAAGTATACTGGTGTATCTCCACTGATATCCATGAGTGATACTGTTGCAAGTAAGAGGAGAATTGCTATAATGTGTGGTGAACTGGTATAATAGACAGTAGCAATAATTTGATCCAAGAATCCCTCTTCCAAGACACTGAAAGTAGGGCTGTGTGAAGCTCCTGCCGCTGATTCAGTTCAGGAGAGATTCAGCCTGATTCGGGGGCCGAATCTCTGAATCCGAATCGAATCAGGAGACCCTTTAATCTCTCCAAATCAAATCGGAACCCTCCAAATTGATTCGGAGAGATTCGACGATTCGGCCATAGACGCAGCTTTAAATGTTTTTTCTACATACCTCAAGGTACCAGGTGGCTTGTGAATGCTGAGATGGTGGGTGGAAGCTGGGGTGGATGCGGGGATCCCCAGCGTGCTCAGCAGTAGACCTGGAAGTGGACCAGAAGCACTTCCAGTCCACTTCTGGGTCCGCCGGGGAGCATGCCAGGGGGCCCCCCAACTATGCCTTCTGGGCTTGGCGACTGGTGCCTCCTGGGTCTGGGGGGGCACTCAGGGTCTCTCTGCGGCTGATTGGCAAGCCAGCTCACTCACTGGTGGACCTGGAAGTGGACCAGAAGTATTTCTGGTGCACTTCCGGGTTCGCCACCAAGCACGTGAACAAACACCTGTCCCACACCCTGGGCCAGCACAGCAAAC